AAAAAACAAAGTACAAGATCAAGAAATAAATGTCTGTGCTCTAAACTCTTCATTGCCGAAGATTTTAAACGTTTTCATGCGCGGCATGTCGATGAAATTAAATTCTATGACACCTCAGATACAAGTACGAGGAATGTGTCTGACTTTTTTCAACTTTTCTTCAAAAATTATTTAGATCACAGAGCAATATTTCAAACGTGGCAGATCATAAGCTCGATAGAGACTTTTAAGGTTTACCGAGTCATCGGTACCATGCGTTCAACCGGCAACAGGGCCGCGGAGTCAGTTATACTACTGCGCGCGGGCTGGCTTTCCAGCTGTGGTATGCTTACAGAGAACAGTCAGTCAGTCAGTCAGTCATAGCCCCATCTATCCATAAGAGAATGAGAAACAGGCATCATAACTTATAATAACGGGCTAAGGGTTGTTTACGTTTTTTTGTGTGTGTCTGTCTGTCCGTTACGAAATTCGTAGGGAGAGTTCCAGCCAACCTCTTGAGCCCAAATGCATAGCGCATCCTAGCAGCAGAAAAGTCCATGTGCAAAAGCACAAGCGGGTCCGATAAGTGAATCCCCTAAAAATTGCGCATGAAATGGGTCCACTAAACTTCTGACCAGCAAAATTGGGCCCGTATATAAACTTTTTGCAAAGTCGTGGATATATTTGACAAGCTAATGTACAAGCCATGGACTTGAGCCCAAAAAATTCAACTAAAGTTGGACTTTACGAAGATGGCGCCAAAAAGAATAGTTGCATAAATGTTTAGTTTCCCAAGATTTTACTTGATCATTTGAGAAATTTTTTGCACAGAGATGTAGCCTACGATGATTATTGCCGTTATGGCGACTACCAAACCATAAGTCCATAAACCTATTCAAATTTGCATTTATTCTTCTCAGAAAAGTTTCATCCCCGTGAAAATACCGATCTCACACAAAAAAGCTCCAAGAATGAGTAGCTGTTTACAAATCATTCGTGATAGCCTGCATAACGCGGTGAGTTTCAATGCCACTATCATGCGGGAATGAGTAAGGCATACAGAAAGTAGGGCCAGTGCGAGCCTCTGCGAAGCAGAGGTGACGCACTGGTAAAATAATAAATGATATCAAATCCATTATTTTGAGTAAGATGCTAGCTTGCGCGCGTGTCGTTGCGGCTGCACTACGCGTGTCCTCGTTATCAGCCCATATATCTTCCCTCAAAATGACGTGGATCAAGTGGATTGGTGGGGCGCCCCTCGCTTTGGGTTTGCGCCACGTTGCGTGGGCATCGGTTGGCGTGACGTGGCGCTTAAAGCGACGTGGCGCAGGCTTTTCCACGTTATTCTTATTGCCACACCACGCCAAAGATAGGCACGCAACGTGGCGCAAGCCCAAAGCGGGGCGGCACCTCACCAATCCAGGTATTCCACGTCATGTTAAGGGAAGACATATGGGTTGATATCGGGAGTACCTGTTGCCGTTAGAAGGCATGCATGAGTGTTACAAAAAGTTGCAAATAAAACCGAGCAAGCTTCAAACACTACCTTACCAACTGACCAGAAAAATCCTGATCAGAATCAATAAAATGCCTTCATCTTTGGCAGTGAGACACCTTCTCAGTTTGCTTCCATTTACTTCATAAGTTGAAATTTCCAGGTCAAAAAAGGCATGACAAGAATTTTTTTTCAAATCGATAGGTATGTCACAAGCCACAATGCAATGCCCACACTGAGAAGGTGCCGCACGCAAACCGCCGAGTGCATCATTTTCTCCAAAACAATTCTCACTGCACATCTAATCGTAGCTTTATTTTCCTCGCTAAAGAATCCATAAATTTTTGTATTGTCTGCATACATTTGAACTGCAATATTTGCTGATGTTTTCAAATCTAAAAGCAATGTGCAATGTGCAAAAGAAAAAGTAAGGGAGAAAGCACTGCACCTTGAGGGACACCTTTGTGCAGCTAATTTCTTCGATTACTGGTGTCCTTTGCGAACTACTCGTCGTTTAAATACGATGCCATTTCAAAAAAAATGTCGCTCAAATCAGACTTCAATTTTGACAAAAGTATCTTGTGTGGTTCATTTTGTCAAACGCATTGGACAGACCCATGTAAATGACATCGAGGGAGTTTCCCCTGTTAAGTGGCATAGTTTCGATCAAAAACAGAGCAGGCAAGATTTGTCTAGAGAATCGCACGCCATAACCGTACTCTTCACGGGACTTACATTAAATTTCGCAAACTACTTCAAAACTTCACGGAACACTTTCTCCATTACTTTTGCTGCAGTAGGTGTCAAGCTAATAGGCAGAAGTCCGACGGGAGTTGAGCGTTGAAAACTTTAGGAATAGCGGTTACCGCCTCCTTCCATACCTGCGGCAACTTTTCAAGCATTGCTGACATGTTAAAAATATGTGCAAGAGGTATGCAAAGAAATGAGACGTATTTTTTGGGAACAACATGTGAAATAATATCGTACTCTCAGTATAGAGTGCTTTCAATCTGATCGAATTTTTTTTATTTTTTAGAGAGACTAAGGACTAAAGTAGACAGTAGATAGGCAGTGATGACCATTGGGAGTAATAGAAAATTCCGAAGGCATAATTTGTTTCTTATGGGAACACATCAGCGAAGTAGCAAGTCTTGTGATGTTCCTTATGCGTAGTATAATTATTCTCACTTTAGTCGGAAATGTCAGACAGATGACGGTTTGATTTCAATTTTTGACTTCTACACTGAAAAAGGAATTGCGACGAAGCTTTTATACTCAAGTTTGTTCATGTTTTCATCATTTTGAGCGTTGACACGTCCTTGCTTACTTTCTTATGCATCGCTTCATCAAAGGGTTGACCAGGGGCGGTATGCAACAATCTCCCGTCCGGATCAAGGTTCCCATTCAGGTCGTACCCGCTTTATAGCTCAATGCTCTGGGGATCTGTGTTCCTTGTTTTTCCGTCTTTTGGAGACCCTACAACCCTGATATTGTAGCATAATAAATAGCAGCACTTTGCCGTAAAAGCCGTTTTCGGTATGATCTCGAACGGGATCTTCAGGGGATCGCGGCACATTTTCAGAGTCATTTCTCTATGCAAGAATTCAGTGCGTGGTAAAGTTGTGCTGAAGATTACTGTGACAGTGCTAAGCATGTTTCCAGTAGCACAGATAAAATGTGGAAGTTTTGAGTTTTTCGATAAACCCCAACTCGCGAGCAGAGGTTCATCGCAGATTTCGTCAACGGAGATCTCACTTATTATTTTCACAAAAATGCTTAGCATTGTCATAATACAGATTGTATCAGCATAATGTAGACAGCATGAGGTTTGGGTGAAGCTATTTATTACATCAGTGGCCTAACGCTTTTCGACTACTCGTCGTCTTCGGAGGCCTTTGCTCCATGCCGGTCACTTAATGGTGTAGTGCGACCGCTTCCTTGGTGACAGTAGTGCCAATCTAGGTTGGCAATCCAATCTAATTTCGTGCTGGCTACATTATACTGACACAATCTGAATTATGCCGAGGTTTCAACAAAAGAAGACGAAAAAACTTACTGTTATAATAGATTTTGAGTTTTTGCAAATTCAACTGACTGTCAATAATGAGCCGTAATTTTCTGAGGATCCCATTCGGGTTCGTACAAATTACCGAAAATCTCAGCTTTATGTTGCTGCTGCTCTTCATTATGCTAAAATACTAATCTCTAATATATTAGGTCGTTCCGAAAGTTCTTTCCGTTTTTTCAAACTATCACAAAAACACGAAGAATGAAGATAAGGAAACGCTTCAGGCACTATACGACGCAGCTTTTCTTCCTCTTTTCAACTGGTGATATTCCTGCGGCGCTTGCTCTTGCGATTAGTGAGATAATGTCTGAAATTTCGAACCAATGGTTTTCACGGTGTCCAACTTTGGCAATTTTTCACATCCTTCTTTTTTGACTTTTGGAAAAGCTTCAATAGCACTCAGATAGAGCAAACAAAGTGCAATCTAATGGAATTTTTTGGCAACTTTCGCCTTCATAGTATTTTTGAGATAATTTTTCCAGAAGTCCTCACTTTTTCGAAGTCACAAAACACAAAAACGCTCTGAACATTAACATCTTCGGATTTCGACACTTTCAAAAGTCGTTTATGATTGTCCACTATTTTTACAAAGTAACTGAGTGTTTACCGCTTCGAAACATGAGACGCTTTTCGCGTGTACACCCTTAGGCGGGTTCAAAATCAAGAGTTATGGAAATTTTATCGTCAAAAACTCCCACAATTGGGAAAAAAAACTCAATAGAAAGAGGAGGAAAAGCTGTATCGAATGACACCTTAGTTGTGCGCTGTTTTATGTTCTATGATTCTTGGCGTCACCAAAAGTGGAATTTGATAGCATCAGAAAAATAATTTTTAAGAATTTTTAAGGCTAGCTATAGGCGCCGAAAAAATGCATTAAATCGCACTTTGTTTGCTCTATCTGGCTGCTATCAAAGCTTCTCCAAAAGTCAAAAAAGAAGATTGTGAAAAATTGCCAAAGTTGGACACCGTGAAAACCATGTGTTCGAAATTTTAGACATTATCTCATTGATCGCAAGAGCAAGCGGCACAGGAATACGACAATTGAAAAGAGAAAGAAAAGCTGCATCGGATAGTGCCTGAAGCGTTTACCTATCTTCATTCCTCGTGTTTTTATGATAGGTTGAAAAAACGGAAAGAACTTTCGGAATGACCTAATATTAGAGACTTCAAAAGATGGACAAACAAGAAAGAACAAGGATCCCCAAAGCACCGAGCTATGAAGCGGATACTACCTGAATGGAAACCCTTATCCGCAGGGCGATTGTCACACACCGCCAAAGAAAATTGAATAAACGTTCTTTCTGGCAACATCTTCCGCATCTGAGTGGTGTTCTCAAGGTATGTGCCGTTCGAAGTTTGTACGCCCAAGGGTTTACAAATTCAAACGGCACATACCTTGAAAATGCCTATGTATAGTTAAACAGGACAGTAAGTCATCTGCTGATAGATGATGTTCGATTAGAGCAAACCAATCAATGGTCTCGAAATACCTATAAGAAAAATAGAGCCGATTTTCGAAAATTAGCTAAACCTTTTCGACAGACAATCAGAGAGGCGCTTGCATAAACTTTGCGTAATAACTGATACTAACAACAAATATCAACTTTTCAATCTACAAAATTAGCTTTTGTTAGAGAAGGCCACTTCGATCAAAAGATTTTTTCTGTCGGTTGCTCATAAGCTGTGTCTCACCCTTTCCCTCGGCCAAAGTCGCAATGATGCTCATTTTTCACCGTACTCCAACAAGTTCAAGATAACGAAAAGAGAAAGAATGTTTGTTGAGAAAAGTGTGATTTGTGCATGCCTTTGTTATGTTCTATCAAAATTAGGTTGAATATACGACAGAAATGGTAATCAACAAAACATTATCTACCAAATAGCAAACGATACAAAATACAAAAATAAATTGGTTGGTTTTTTGCTTATACTCATCAGAGTGGTCGACATCTGCATTTTCGTTGTTGTGCCTGTGCTATCCAAAGATTGTGAATGTTCTGTTCTACTCGGGGCGCTTAGTCGTTCAGTTTTCAGTGTGATTGCCATTCCGCTCCTCGTCGTGGTGGTTTTGTTCTGCAATCATTCATCCCTTTTACGGGCTCGGTTTACTATTGTGATATACTCGGAAATACAGATTAGCAAAATAAGCTCATGCGCTTCTCTTACAGGATCAAAGCAAGTTATAATATAATCTTTCATTTCACATAACGGAAAAAGTCTGCACAAAAGTAGCTGCCTTATTCTGCCTGTACAAACTTTAGTTGGGCTCTGAGAATTTTTTGTAGAGTGTAGGGTGTAGCAGTGGGTTTTTCAGCCATCGTCGGCATTAGTATATCATTGCAATAAGATAAGAATTGCAAAATCTCATGTGATTGCTTCGAAAGAGGCGCTCTACAAGATTCTTGTGAAAAGCTTCCAAAACAGATGCGGAAAGCGTAGATTGACCTTATTGTGCGAAAATGTAGATTGACCTTATTTTCTGTTTTGAGCAAAATTATGAAGAGAACAATGATATGAACATTTTTTGGCGGGATCATTTGAGTACAATTTTTGTTAGGAACATATGAAATTCTTAATCGCGCGTAGCAAAACTGGCAGTCTTGAACATCTGTTTGCTTAATCTTTGCGAGCAGCCCCTGTAACGGCATGACTGAATAATTTGAGCTATGATATAAGGTCACTGGACATTGAAATCAGTACAAAATTTTTCACAAGAGTGAGAGCTTTCTTCTAGTTTGACTGAGAGGAACAAGAAAAAATAGTTCTTTGTAATGGTCATTTGAGAACAGGGACGGGTTTCTTAACGGTTTACTGATCGCAAGGTAGTAAAGAAAAATTCTGCTTGTCACTCTTATTCCATTGATACAATCTTGAAAGGTTGTTTTGGTTTTGACATATGTCTTTACTTAAGCTTTAGGAGAATGTCTCATGAAATTTGAAATAGTGATATTTATGACTAAAAAAGTGCATTACATTCTCGTGCTATCTGAATTTTGCGTGCAGCTGTCTTTTTATTTTTGCGACAAAACATTACAACAAGAGTTCATTTGACTGCTTGTGTGTGTCTCATAAATGGGAGCTAATTTGGAGTTGCACTGATTTTTTGCGAAAAGATTAGATTTTTTGGCATGATTTCATGTTTCGCAGCCTGGCGTGAAACTGCTTGTTGACATCCGTAAAAGATTTAGGCTAATGCAGTCATGTAAACTTTGTGTTGCTTCAATAAATAGTGCTCCTCACTGATTCGGGTGTCTAGCCACAATAGCATAAGGAATGACCCACTCCTGCAATTAACATAAAGCTCTGACAAGGGAAGGATACCGAGTCTCGCGGCGTTGGCGACGATGGCGATAGCGCAAGGCGATGTATATCATTGAAGTCCTTTCGGCACACTGATAAAATATCCGGCCAAACTACGAGGTAGTATGAGAGAAGTTATGCCCTGCATACATCGCTATTCTGATGGTGTAAATGGGAGAGCTTGACTTTTAACCTATGGCAAGGGTTTTTCATGTGGGTACATATCAATTCTGCTTATCGTATTTTATTAGAAAACTAGCTGGCTTACCCGGCTCCGCCGTATCCGGACCAAACTTGGCACACATACACTTCGGGCCCCGGCGGGTGTCACAGTCCACTTTTCGTTATCGATCGATGTCGATTTTACCGATTTTTATCGATTTTTTGGCAGAGTTCACCTACAGGGCTAGGAGTTGGCACAGGGGGGAAGTGAGCATGGGGATTCCGAATACAATATTAGTTTTCAGAATTATCGATTGCTTTTATTGATTTTATCGATTTTTTGGCAGAGTTCACCTACAGGGCTAGGAGTTGGCACAGGGGGGAAGTGAGCATGGGGATTCCGAATACAATATTAGTTTTCAGGATCGTCCATTACTTTTATCGATTTTATCGATTTTTTTGCAAAGTTTGACCTGCGGGGCTGGGAGTTTGCACAGAGGGTAATCGAGCATGCAGATTACGAATACAATATTAGTTTTCAAGATCGTCCATTACTTTTATCGATTTTATCGATTTTTTGAAAATTTGAGCTAGGGGGCTGGAATTTGGCACAGGGGTGTTCGAGCATGCTGATCACCCCCCTTGGGGATGATCAGCATGCTCGATTACCCCCCTGTGCGAACTCCCAGCCCCGTAGCTCAAACTTTGCAAAAAAATCGATAAAATCGATAAAAGTAATCGATAATCCTGAAAACCAATATTGTATTCGGAATCCCCATGCTCGATTACCCCCCTGTGCCAACTCCCAGCCCCGTAGCTCAAACTTTGCAAAAAATCGATAAAATCGATAAAAGTAATCGATAATCCTGAAAACCAATATTGTATTCGGAATCCCCATGCTCACTTACCCCCCTGTGCCAACTCCCAGCCCCGTAGGTGAACTCAGCAAAAAAATCGATAAAAATCGATAAAATCGATATCGATCGATGACGAAAAGTAGCCTATGACACCCGCCGGGGCCCGATGTGTATGTGTGCCAAGTTTGGTCCGGATCGGTTCAGAAATGGAATTTTCTATTCGGAACATACGTACACACAGACAGACAGACATACAGACAGACAGACATACATACAAGCAGACATTCAGCTTTATATATAAGATGTCGTTTCGAAACACATTTGTGCCTTATTAGTGATAGATAATGGAGACGAGTAGCGTAGCGGTATGAGTCGCCGTCGGATTATAATTTATCGTCCCGGAAGATAGAGAGCTGGTGCCTGGATCGGACCAAGGTCCGGTCCAGGCACCAATTCTCTACCTTCCGGGACGATAAATTGGTACCAAAGTGATTGGAAGAATAAAAGCATCAACTTGGTAATCGGCTGCCCTCCCCCCCCCCCGCAGTCACTGAAACAGGCTCGCACGCATTCATTAGCTACATCAAATACGAAGTAGAGTGCATTCGGCGCATGCCCGCAGAAAGTACTGAAAAAGCCGAATTCTTTATTCTTTATCCTTCAAAAACGCATAATCACTCGTGCTCTTCTGTAGGCAGGGCAAAAATTGTAGGCGGGGGTCCACAACTTCTTTCCAAAATTGTTTCGCAGAGTTGAAAAGCGGATATGTATCACTGTCCCAAAGGTACTCACTATATGCATTTCTGGGCTGAACGTCAGTGCGACTCGGTATGCTTCACTCTTGGGTTTACGAAGTCTTTGAAGTGCTAGAAGCTCTTACCATTGAAATTCCTTCAAACTCCTTCAGAGCTCTCTTCATTGCATCAGCAATAGGTGCAACAAATGCATAAACATACTTCTTCGCGCGTCGATTTTGATTGTCAGTGAGTAGCGGCTCACCATCCGAATCTGAATCAGGTCGACGGAATATTACTTCCTCCAGATGAGAAATTCATTTTTGAACTTAATTTCTTTTTATCCCCCACAATGGTCGGTCGCCTCATCGTGGCGTGGGGGTGACACTGGGTGTCGAACTGCGATGCACAGCCGAGTGTATACTCTGGTAGGGCCTCCCAAGCTGTGAAGGAGTTCGACGTTTCCGGTTTCGGCCGGATGCCTAGCTAAGAACTGGCCGCGCCAGATTCTCCGCCGTCTGGCTTCTTCTGGTCGCTAGGCGGTCCCTCCCCGCTCCAAGCCCGGGGTCAGCGATCACCCCGTGGAAATCAAGAGTAGGCCTAGTAAGCCACCTCTTGTAGGGGAACAAATTTTATTACTCAGACAGCAAGAAGATTTAGAAAAAACCCTGTACATCGGATCCCGCCTACGGCGCCGGGTGGTAGCAAGAACGATGTCAGGGACTCAGGGCGCCTTTCGGATTGGACAAAAACGACACGTCTGCCCGGACGACACGCCATGGAGACTGCCTCATGCTCTGCACTTACAACGCCAGGACAGTCTCCACAAACGCCGACCTCCACGCTCTTCTCGACGCTGCAGAGCACATCAACTACCACATCATTGCTCTGCAGGAAACGAAGTCCAGGAAGAAGGACGTGCGACAGATGAGTGATGGGACCCTCATCATTCGTGGTGAAAAGGTTCCATCACGAAACGTGGGAGGCGTCGGCTTTGTCGTCCACCCATCTATCGTCCATCTTGTCGATTCGCACGAGATCCTATCACCTCGACTAGGCATCCTACGACTACGACCTCCACATCAGAAGACCATCAGCATCATCAACTGCTATTCTCCAACATCAGCAGCTGACGAATCAGAACTAGATGCTTTCTACGAAGATGTGGAGGAGGTCGTCCGCAACGAGAAGTCCTTTTACAAGTTTGTTGTGGGCGACTTCAACGCGAAAATCGGGATGCCACTGGAAAGGGAATATAGGATCGGGAAGTTTGGATATGGGCTCCGGAACGAAAACGGCAACCGTCTTGTTGGGCTTCTCTCCGCCGCACGACTTTTCCATGGAAATTCCATCTTTATGAAGAAGGAACATCGCCGGTGGACATGGGAATCGCCCAACGGAACGACCCACGCGGAGATCGACCACATTCTCACCAACCGAAGGTGGAGCTTACTCGATGTCTCTGTAGTTCCATCCTTCTGTAGTGGCTCCGATCACCGCCTCCTTCGAGCGAAGATACGACTCAGCCGAAGGCTGGAAAAGAAAGTCTGTCATAGTGCCGCGAGAAGGAAGGAAGTCGTTTATGACGGTAACAGGCTGGAAGAGCTCATATCAAGTTGTGACTGGCCCATCGAGGAGGACCCAACGTACGACTACGACCGGCTTCTGAAAGGATTGCGAGCCTGCGGAGAATGCGCCTCAGTGACTTCTGAGAAGAACTTGGACCGCATCTCGAAGACCACCAAGGAATTGCTCGAAAGAAGAAGATCATTGAGGCAGAATCCGAATGCAACTCATCTCGAGCGACTGATTGCCAACACCAGTTGCAGAACAGCTTTGCAAGAGGATCTCAGGAAGTACAGGCAAGCCAAGATACTGGAAGCAGCAGAAAGAAGACGAAGTCTCAAGAAGTGCCGAAGGGACCTCTGCGAATATCACGTACCGCTGGCTGCACTACTGAACGAAGACGGGACTCCGACTTCTTCCCGATACAAGATGGAATCTATCGCGAAGAACTTCTACACCAACCTCTTCCGCTCATCAACACCCGTGCAGATGCCCGTTGTTCCCACTGGAGAAGTACCACCACGAATTCTACCTGCTGAAGTGCGTATCGCGATACAGACCATGAAGACGTCCACGGCTCCAGGACCAGATCATCTTTCCGTCGAACTTCTGCGAGCCGGAGGACACCGTCTACACGAGATTCTAGCGTCGCATTTGACATCTTACCTTCAGAAGGAGAAGATTCCCGACCAGTGGAGAACGTCAAGAACCGTCCTTCTCTTCAAGAAGGGTGAACGGGAGGATCTTCGGAACTATCGTCCAATATGCTTGCTGAGTGTGTTGTACAAGCTTTTCACGAAGATTATCCTCGCTCGCATATCAAGGACACTGGATGAAGCCCAACCCCAAGAACAAGCTGGATTTCGCAAAGGATTCAGCTGCATGGACCACATCCAGACCGTTTCGAGGGTCATAGAAGTCTGCCGGGAGTACCGACTGCCTCTCGTCCTAACCTTTGTCGACTACGAGAAAGCCTTCGACAGCGTCGAAACCAACGCCATCCTGTCTGCGCTAGTCGATCAAGGAGTGGACCCAGCTTACGTGAGGACGTTAGCCGACTGCTACAAGGACTGTACAACGACGATGCAGCTATTCCATCGCCCCCTGACCATACCAATCGGAAAGGGGGTCCGACAAGGCGACACAATCTCGCCGAAGCTGTTCACCGCGGCCTTGCAGTGGGTGATGAAGTCACTGGACTGGGACGAGAGAGGCATACGAGTTGATGGGAGATTCCTGTCCAACCTTCGTTTTGCGGACGACATCGTTCTCTTCTCGAGCAGTATCACTGAAGCAGAGACGATGCTGAAGGAACTAAACGAAGTAGGGAAGAAGATCGGACTGCGAATAAATCGGAAGAAGACTCAGTTCATGAAGAACGCCCTTTGCGAAGATGCAGAAATGGAATTGGAAGGCACCCCGATTATGGAGACGTCTTCCTACGTGTATCTCGGACGTTCGATGAACATGGAGAACGACTTGAGGGAAGAACTCAACAGGAGAAGAAGAGCAGCCTGGGCCGCCTTCGGGCCCCTGAAGGAAGCCACCGACCAACTGACGGACCCGGAGCTTCGTGCCCACCTGTTCGACTCAACCGTTCTCCCGGCGCTCTGTTACGCAGCTGAGACTTGGGCCGACACCGTAGCCACGTCGAAAGCTTTACGGACCACCCACAGAGCGCTCGAGCGCAGTCTTCTGAAGATGACCCGACGCAAGCAACATCTAGTCGGACTTCGCAGCACGGATATGAGAAGAATGTCCCGTCTTCGTGACCCAGCGGAATACGTCGCGAAAGCCAAACACCGATGGGCCGGTCACATAATGAGAAGAACAGACGACAGATGGACACTAAGAACATCGGAGTGGATTCCTCGCGAAGCCAAACGTCCCCGAGGAAGACCTCCAACGAGATGGGCAGACGTGTTCGTGGAACGGATGGACCAGCTGAGAAATCAGCTGGATACGATTTTTGCACCTGGAACTCGTGGACGCAGCCACCGACGTCAGCCAAGAAGATCGTGGATGTCAGAAGCGAGGGACAGGGAAAAATGGAAACTTCTGAGCTGGGGCCCGCACGTCACGTGAAGCCGGGCCATCTAAGTATCTAAGTAAGTTTCTTTTTATCGTACAAACTTGTTTTATGTACACTATCTAAAACGTCTTACTTCAGATAATGAAGCCAAGATGACATAAACAACCTTTTTTATCTTTTCATGTGGAAGATAGCTGCAGAAGAAACTCAATGATGTAGATCGCCCACTGTTTGATTGCAGATATTTGTTTGTTTTTCCCTAATTCTGTAAGAAACGAAAAAGACGGCTTTGTCTGACTAGAAAAAATTTTAAGTTGGAAAGGCGCTTTCTAAAGAGCTGCAAACGTCTGACACAACAAGAAACTTCATACTGCTTCCAATACGCTTCTGCTGAAAGCCCTTGTCTCCGAAGTCATAAACCACTTTCTGCACAAAAATCGTCTGTGCAACTTCAAATCAACTTCAAACTTCAAACAACTTTAAACTCTAAGTAGTTGATTGCATTTTCAGCTAAATTTCTAGCTGGGCTTCAACAAGCTATGGATTTTGCCCACCATCGAGCCGGATTTTTGTTTTATATATGACGCTAGCTGGCATCCCCGACTAAACCCGGGTAATTGTTAAGGAGGTTAGACAGCCACACTTCGTCTTTCCTCCTTCTCGTCTTTTATGTTCGGTTCAGCTATGTTCTCTGCCCCTTTTCTGCATCTTAATAATGCACTGAAAGGGCCCCTTCCCCCTTACTTTTTTGTATAGCCTGCCTCAGAACGATTGTTTCAAATAAACTGCATCTTCTTCACTTCAAGAAGAAGATGAACTCTACTGCACAGTGCACACTTACAGCTCAATCGGTTGAGCGGCGAGCGTTTTTATAACGCACATATCTTCCAGAACAATATTTGAGTTTATATATGGAGAAATTCAGATTTGAATTATACGTTCTTCTATGACCGGCCTAAATTAATGGAAAAAACGGAGGGATTTAACCAAACTTCGCACACTAAACATCGAGGCTAGACGTATGTTGGTGAGCAATTTTCGTCAAAAATTGACGAACTTCATCTTTTCATCAATTTTGCAAATTTTATACTTGTCATTCTTGTCATGACGGCCAATTATGAGATCTCAACCATAGCAAAACTAATGCCATGTTAGTTGTTAGTTGTGGAAAATAATAGCGTTTTTACGCAGTAATGTTGATCCTCTTCGTTGACTCATGTTTCTGCGATCAACGCTATGGCAAGCTAAAATTGGCAGAGTGGGTAGTCGAGTATGCTTATCACGAATAAAAAGTTTTCATCACTTCCTTGAGACCTCGTCTACCGAGCTGCTGATTTGTTCATCTGTCGTCATTGCCACCAGCAGCAGAGAGGCTGGTGCATGTATTCTACCCAAATCTGCGTTTTGCTAGCAGTCCTTGCAAGAAATGTGATTATAATCTTGCCTAAAGAGGCTTTCAGCAGATAATAAAAGGCAAATTTAAAGTAGCAGTTTTATGCTGCATTAAATGATAGCATTTCTCTGGAAACTGCCGCCTTGCGACCATCTCTTCATATGCTTTGGAATTTTCGCCCTCTCTTGTTAGTGTTGTCACGAGTATAGGGGCCTGCAGGATCGCGAGAGTCGGACGTGCGTACGGCCATTGCGCGGCGCACGTCCGATGTCACTAAGGCAAGTGCCAGACTTATCCACTTCAGCCGTTCGTTCCGTTCATAGGTCAAATCACTACACTGTCCAACAGCAAAGGTGGTGAACCGAATGAACCTGTTCAACAGGATAAGTCTGGCACTTACCTGGGCCGTCGCACGCAGTTCTGACGTGCGCGGCGCAATGGCCGTACGCACGTCCGACTCTCGCGATCCTGCAGGCCCCTATACTACTGATAGCTGGTTCAACTTTGAAATTTTCTGCGCAGGACCGAAGAATGGATTAGTCTACAAGATAATTCAGATAAAAGCTCCTTTCTCAAGGGTTGGTGAAAGAAGTTGATATGCTGAGAGTGCTACATGCACGGGAACCGCAGTTTGTTTCAGACTGCATTGTTATGCATTATACATTAGTACCTTATATTTGACGCACGATGTTCAAACAAACAGTTCCGAACTTAATTTTTTTGTTTAGGAGTTTGCTTAAGCTTCTATCATACAAACTTGTTGGCAACATCCAAAACATTCTTGATGAGTTCTTCAATGACTTGATTTCGTGCTAATTGGGAGGAGATAATTGCGAGTAATGAAGAAGCCTACTTCATTGATTGAGTCATTTACGTTGCGTTAAGAGATCCAAAGCAAAAATTATGACTATGACTTGCTTTTGAAGGAACTGAAAATTGCTAAAAAGGAGAAGTGACAGCTTTGAGAAAGACAAATGCGACTTAATTGTCACTAGCTGAACACCGCCAAATACTATGCTTTTCCTGTAAACGAACCGTGGAAATAGGTAATTAACTTTCGCAGATATGTCGAAACCAGTGCACCCCTCTGGTTCGCAAACGCTTGTACTGGCCATATGTTCATGTAAACTGAGATATGTAGAGGCTCATCTCTTCAGTCCAGTAAGCACAGTAATCCCATACAAAAATGAAACTCTCTATTGTGCCACCTTTACATGCTTCATAGCAATGTGATTCACTCCTCGCTGTAACGAACAAACTTTACCCAGTAACAGATCAAGAGCGGCTTATCATAAGTCAAGATGGCTAACACTACTGCTGGGAAAACTTTTTAACAAGCATGGTTTAGCTTGGCCGGTGATATCAATTTGAAAGTCGCTGATTATTAAGAAAAAACTCTCGGAATAAGCTGATAATCATGTTTTTAATGATATTCTCACCTAAAAACAAGATGCGAGGAACGTATCTTCCATCCGGAGCGTACTTGGGATCACTAGGCACTTCACCATCTTCTACATTAACCATCACAAAGTTCTTGGAGAGTGCTACAAATTCGTCACTTTCCGCTGCTGTACCAATCTTGCTTTTTAATCCTGTGATCAAAAAATGACTTCTTGTTCAGCATGAACAGAACTTACTTTTGCAAAACTTACAGCGAGATCTAAGCATAATTAGCATAATTGGCTTTCTCAGATCTTTTGCAACATGGATCGCTTCATCCCATCTGACCCATTCTATGTCGCCGCCTATTCCTAGAAATTTTCATGCAATTCTGAAGAGTAATCTCCTTGAAATTATTTAGCCAATTCGTTAAAATGTATTTAATTCTCAGTATGTAATGTATAATAACTCCCAACTTCAGATAAAGACGGATTTGCAGATATCTGATAAATAGTAATAAGCTAAGAGTATGTATTTTTATTTGTTCATTTCTAGAATACACATGAAATTGCACCAGAAAACAAAAGCAAAAATCAAAAGTGCTGGGCTAGATCACGTTGTCCTTGCTGGAATGACCAGGTCGTTTTCCTTCTCCAAGAAGTAAGACCCCTGTCGAGTAAACCGTAAGTGAACCCTAATGGATAAGATGGGTCGTGTGTTATTAAGCCATTTCAATCAAAACATACTGATTGACCCTGTCAACTTATTGGTTTTTTGCAGTTTGCGAATTACCCGTTGCTTAGAATGATGAATCAAAATAAACTGACAAAACCGAATATGTCCTCAGCTTCTTTCTGCGCAGGTCATAAATCGAAGTAATCCGCGCAAGATGACAAATTTTCTGCATTTCACATTTCGTGCAAAGAAGAAAAATTTGAATTTATTTACTCAAAGAACGGGGCACTTTAAAGATGCGAAAATGGCCGTTTTTCAAAGTTCTGGAGAAAATTTTTTTTTGCAGGCGGTGCCTCAAAGATGTGACATAAGCTATAAACAGCCCAAGCAGGCTCCTACATAACCAGCGAATATGGTTTCTCCAGCTCTCTTCGTGCCCAAAAAATTACTGCACCAACACGCCGAATTTCAAGTCGCCTTTTTTCCTACTGCGCATGCTGGTGGCCCAATGAAGGACTGAGGACGCAGTAAATTTAGTATATGTTGTAGAAACATTAGGTTTACGTAGAACTTGCCGCTTTCACAAAGGTTCAATCTGCTTGAAGTAACAGCAGTTCGAAAAATGCTTCGCAAGTGCCGGGAACTTTCGTTACAACCTAATAGCTTGTTAACATTGTCGAACTTGCGATTTTAAAACATTCGCAGATAAGGATTGCGTTTAGAGAACAACATTCGTTACCTGGCATCAGCAACGTATATCTCATCTCGAATGGCAATTTCAAATAAAGAGTCCTTTTGAGTTTAGAAACTTTGCATATAAATTTGATGCCTCAAGTGCTGGTATTTTCAGGAAGTTTGATCACATATGACTTATTTACTACCCCGAACTCTTCATGCATGCAGTAAATATTAGGACTTTATGCGGCGTCCCAGTAATGAAAAAGCTGCTCACGGCCCCTTCATAAAGTGAGACACCTAAAAACTTGCCGCGAAGACTTTTATGCATACTGACCTTAGATTACAAAGTCAGTAGAGATTTATGCATCGTTAAGCTTTTTTCCCGAAACTAAGTTTAGAACAGTACGCCGCAACTAATAGCCGGCGCATCTCAACCGGAAGATTTCAATATATCAGAGTGCAGCATTGATGAAGAAGATTGTCAGATATTGAATGAAAGAGAAGTACGCATTAACTAGATAAACGCTTCTATCCACTTCTTACAAAACTATTTATGTGCATGACTTAAGAAATTTGCAATATATGTTAGACTGAATGACGTTGTGATATAAATGCGAAGCTTAAATCGAAATTGTAGGATTATGAGAATCTTCGAACTAAGAAGGGAACTATATCCTATCCGTGGCCTCCTGAAATGAGATGTGTACCATTTCGTTTTGGAACGCTAATTCCTAATCTGAGTTCCTTCTGTTAATCGTTTTCTGAAAAAAGTTATAAAGGACCAGTGCGTCACCTCTGCTTCGCAGAGGTTCGCACTGGTCCTACTACGGGTTGTTTCATACTGCCGCACTGACCGCAGTAGACTACAGCAGACCGCACTGACCGCAGCAGACTGTAGCTGACCGCACTGGCCGCAGCAGAATGCAGCAGACTGCAGCTGACAGCGCTGACTGCAACGGCCGCCCAGGATCGCTGCATTCTTTTGCAGAAGAGGAAACAATTGCGATCACGTCAAAATACTGTGATTTACGCCTAGGAAGTACGTAGATTCTACTTTACTTTTCTCAAACAAATTTTGTCGATTGTTTTTCATTGCTATGCTCATATCTTCTTTGATTCCTCCTATTATTGTATTTACCTGTTTTGTAATCTAAGCTATATTGTTGTTGATTGTTTGAGCTACAACTAGTTATCCTCTTCAGCTTTACAAAAGGATGCAGCGATCTGTGCTGCCACTGCGGTCAGTGCGGTCAGGTGCAGTCTGCTGCAGTCTGCCGCAGCTCACCTGCAGTTAGCTGCGATAGCTGCAGTCTGCTGCGGTCAGTGCGGCAGTCTGAAACAACCCTATCTATACACTTCACTCATTCCCACCCAATAACGACAATGAAAACTCACTGCGCTATGCGGACTATCACGAATGATTTGTAAACAACTATCCATTTTGAAAGCTTTTCCATATGAGATCGGTCATTCCGCGTGGATAAAACTTTTCTCAGAAGAACAAATGCAAATTTGAATCGGTTTTTAGACTTTTACGGTAGTTAGCCATAAGGTACAACAATCACCGTGGAATACATCTTTGTAAAAATCTTCTCGAACGATCAGGTGAGATCTTGACAAATTGAGCATTTACGCAACAATTCTTTTTGGGGCTGTTTTCGCAAAGTAATAAACTTGAGTGCACTTTTGACGCTAAAGTCCTTGGCTTGCAGACTAAGTCAACATATTCGTGATTTAAGTGGTGCACAGGCTCAATTTTGCTGGCGAGAAGCCAAGTGGATCCGTTTGACGCGCAGTTTTTGAGGGATCCACTCAAGGGATCCGCTTGCGCTTTTGCATAGTGAACTTATATGCAGGCAGCATGCGCTATGCAAAATTTGGGCTCAGGAGGTTAGCTGGAACACGCTCTACGAATTTCGTGGCAAACACACACACACACACACACACACACACACACACACACACACACACACACACACACACACACACACACACACACACACACACACACACACACACACACACACACACACACACACACACACACACGTGAACATCCTTAGCCCGTTATTGTAAGTTATGATTTTCGAAGTTTAGCCGCCCAGGGGAAATAAGATCGGAGCGCCAACATCGCCGGTGCGCTGTGGTGTAGTGGTTAGTGCGATAGGCTCACAAGTTGATGCAAGTGTAACTTCAAATCATTCTCTGTTCACTTCTGATTGCCTCAATTAGGCTTCTTTTGAAAGCATCCTCAAGATATGTGCATGCCCTTCTTTGGAAATTCTAGAGTTTTTATATGTGTGTTCCCTGCATTTGTTTCAAAAGAAGCTCAAAAATGAGAATGAATGGAAGATGAATACATGTTTTGTTCAAGTAAACTTCCTCGATGCTTATGGTTACATTTTAGTGCAAATAGTAACCATTTTTCTTAATTTTCACAATTTTTGAAAAGTAAAGGCATGCATTTACCTGCTTGAATGAATGAATGAAATGAATGAATTTACCTGCTTGAATGTTTGAATGCCTAACTCTCAAAAAAAGGGTTAACAGGGGCAATGCAAAACTTAGCAACCAAAATGACTCGAACTTACACCTGCATCAACTTGTGAAGCTATCGCACCAACCACTACATCATAGCTTACCGGTGTAATTTGCATTCCGATTGCACTTTCCTTGTGCGGTCATACTTGGCATGAAAATTCTTCATAGCTTCTTTCAGAGAAACGATCAGCAGAAAAGAGTTTAGACTTGGAATCAGCGTTCCAGGATGAGTGTAACGGTAAGCATCTCATCTCGAAGGCCACGGACACCGAGCATCGTTCTTCTAAAACAAGTAGACCGAACCGTGTGCCAATGGATTTTCCGTGCCCTCGCTGGCATTCTTCTTTGCTTTCTCTGCATAGGTTACGGAGAAGACAGCGACAAGAGAAAGCCATGTTCTCATTCTGCAAGACACAGGTCAACTTTGCTGTCAACTAGAGTGAATAAAAAGCAACGATTTTTATAGTGGTTAATACTCCTTGCTTAACGGGTTAAACAGGGTATAGCCGCCCAGAAGAGTGGATGCTGAAGGAATGAATGTTACGTTGAAAACAGAGATTATCAATTGAAAAATGTGTTCTACGATGATGCGTACTACAACGACGAAAACGTTTAGGATAAGAGCCAAAATGTGGTTCAGCAGGTGATCCTGACACTAAACACACAATTGATCTTGAAGAAGACTAAGGGAGGGAGGGGGAGGCGAGGTCTGGACCCTACAGGTAATCATTGACGAGAAATAGATGCGACAAAGTGGTGGACAAGCTTCGGAATAAAAGTTTCTAGAGTAGTTCGCTGTAAAACGAGTAAAGGTGAAGGAGTAGCTGTACTATGATAGTTGCTGCTTTTTGCTGTTATGAGTGGTTTTGAGATATCGCTACATAAAGTTCTATGTATCTTAGGTTGGATAAGTCTTTGTATGTTCCGAAAATTTTTCTGGCTCATTATTCTTGCACGATGGAATTGTACGACAATATCGGTAAGGTTTATTACAACTAACGAAAAAATGGTCAAAACTCAGCCTAGCCATTCCAAACAAGCTATACATCAGCGTACTCGCCTTGAAACGCTGATTTAAATATATGCTTATTATCTGCCGAAGATATCTATTAAGAACTATCTGGAAGAAGTTACGAGTGTTCAAATAAAGGATTATTCCAGTTCTAACGATATAGTTTGTCGAAAAACGGCCCGATGACGCGGTTTAAAGTGGGTATAGGTATCACTTACAAAAAAAAGCATATTCACCAAAAACAATAGTGTCTTCGAAACGTATTCCGTGGAAAATGCACCGCAGAACACTTTACAGATTTGAACGCTCATAGCTCCTCCCAGATAATCGTTCAGCAGATGCTAAACATATGATTTATATAAGCGTTTCATGGCAAGTCCGATGACATATAGCTCGATTTTCATAACGTGGCTATACGTAGTAGAAATTATGACTCTTAACTCAGCGCGCAAATGCTAGTTTCCGAAAGTTTTTTTCATTTATACTTCTATTATAAAAAAACGTGGGTTGAAGATGTCAAAGACTTTGACAACGACCGGACTCATTTCTTTCTCCTTCAAGCAGTAACATTTCGCGATTATTTGCTTTTGTAATTATTAGTGTGTCCTCCAAGCTTCAACGGGCACTTTCATAATCTTCCTCTTGTGAAAGTTATGGAGACAGATAAATAAACTCATTGTCTGAGTGAGCGCCTTTTATAGCGCTCAATTCCCGCGCACACTGATGTTCCATCAATTAAGCCATCGCAGATCGTAAGAGGAACCATTGATCATTTTTAACCAAAATACCTCCCCTGACAGAAAACTTAAATACGCCTGCGACGACAGCTCGAACATTGAGAAAAAATAAAAAACATACAACAATATTACTAATACCAGAGATAACGTTGAACAAGTTTTCTCGTTCTGCTCGATCTCCGGAGGTGACGGTTGCGAAGAGGGAGAGTTGCATGGTGTTGATGTCGTTGAATCCATGGGTATTGGCGCATCTTTCGATATCACGGTAGCGGAACTGTCGTCATTTGCACAGCAATTTCTCTATCGGCTTTCGTCCTCTATGCATCTAAAAGTGTATTCGACTCGGATTGCTGTGCAAATTGTATCGGACGACAGGCTGTTCGCTGTCGCTTTGACATCGTAGCTGATTGATTTGTATTTTACACATTTCTTGCCAACCATTACTTCATAATTTGACCCATTAAGACGTCACATCACAGTTCCTCTAATCGTTGAGTGAGGTGTTTTTTGTCGAGCTGGTCTTTCATGCGCTCTCGCCTTCTTCAGGTAAGTGGATCTTCTGCATCTTTTGACATCTAGCAACATCAACCTTGTAGGCTAGTCTCTGCCTAGAAATTCACTTTTGGTTCAAGTTCGTGTTTGATGTTGTCCTAAACGCTTGTGACACCGCATTTGTCTCTTCTTGTTTTCTTCTCTCCTTCATTTTTTTCTGACTCCGCATCTGCATGTCTTGGATGGGGGTGATACGGGTTCTTAAGTGAGTGAATTCACTTTCGTCGCACATTTGAGTTGATCCGATGTAATCCGCGTACCATTGTTGCTCGATTTGTTTGAATAGTTCATGTCTCCAAATAAGTTTTTTTTCCACTTGTGTCGAAGGTTTGCTCATTTAAATCATTTCGGGCCATACAATATGCATTCATCACTATTGAGTGAAAGACACCTTGCATAGGCCAGCGGAATCGATATGTATTTGCTGCCACACTCGAGTCGTGGATGGCCATGCTTCTAACGAAATTTCAGTAATTTGGCTCATTCTTAACATTTAACATTTCGTACACCTTCGTACCAATTCTTCGCAATCCTTGTTCGACATCCGTCCAATACACATAACTTCAAGCCAGCTTCTACATTCTTATAATTTTGGAAGTCCAACAAGCAGTTCCTTCAAAACATGTGCTCAAAGCTCTTTGGGTATCACAATTCTTTCGGCTGACATCGGACATTGCTCGACAATTAAATTTCTCTTGTCAATTTACCAGTTCTCCATTCCCTCCAGCCAATTCCATTTCTTCAAGCCAGTGCCCTATTATCGGAACCCTCTTCATGCAAGCTTGGATGTCACATACGTCACTTGTAGTATCCCTGTACAGCTTTTCAACATACTGTTCACATCGTTCTCGACTATAGCTACCACATATCATCGTCCGAAAGCTGGTTTTTCTTCATCAAACGTGATAAGCCATCTGCTTGTCCGAATTTTGTAGTTTTGACATATTTCACATCGAAGTCATAAACTACAAGATTGAGTCGATTGGCGGAGTACATTAGAACTCATGAGTTGATTGGCGGAGCACACTAGAACTCCCTTATTTCACCAAAGCTGGCTAGCAATGGATAATGGTTCCCCAACAGTGAAACTTTTTTTTTTTCAAATATGAACTTGTGAATTTTCTCGGCTGCCATACAATTTCTAACGATTCTCCCCCAGAATATGTGTGCGAGAACACGCAACCGATTCCATAGTCACTGGTGTCCGCTGTGACAGTCTTCTGCCTTGGATTATGATGAGCAATATTCAGGCTACTCGGCACAATCTGCCTAAGCTTTTTGAACGCTTCTTTATGTATTCAGCTCCATCCCCACTTCGCATCTTTCTTCAGCATTGCATTCAATAATTCACGAAGGTCTTCAAAGGTAGCGTCTAGGCACTGTTCTGAGAATCATACTTAGCGTGGGACTTGCCTTGACTTCTAGGGTTTTTGCAGGAAGATCCCAGCACAGATCGCCTGGACAATGGGTCCGCATGCAACACGATGCAAGTCGTCCGCCAAATACGGTATGAGGGTCTGGTTTTTTCGCATTTTCCAACCGAGTGCACCATCCGCTCTATCTGCTTGGGCAGCGTCTTGGCTAGGCTCCCAAAATTAGTCTCCAGGTGTGAACCCCATGTGTCCAGGTTTGCTTAGATGGTGAATTTTTGTTAAGGACCCAGCATGGTGCGTTCTCATGCCCAAAAGCTTTCGGTTGACCAACATCCTTCGACTTATCGATATTCTCAGTCGCCTCTTCTTTTAAAAATTCGTCTTTGTGCCATTTCTTTCTACTATGAAAGCAAAATATCGTATCTTCGGCTAAACACAAGAAGACTTCACTGAACAAATTCTAAAACCTCGCTTATCCTCGGAAAGCACCTAGCAAGTTCTTCATGTGTTCTTCTTCGGTTCATACCAGTATATCATCTCGTTCAGATAGATTGCTACAACCCGCAAACGGATAACGATTTTATTCACTATTTGTTAAAAAATTCCTGGTGATGCATTGAGTCCTAAAGGCAGTCTGCTGTACCGGTACAGTTCTCTACGCGTATTTGTCACAACATTCTTTCTTCGCTTCTTTTGCCATCTCAATCTGCAGGTATGCGATAGATCTAATCTGCGAAAACAATGTTCATTCATTGACGATGCGAATATATCTTAAGCAATGGCAACGAATGCACGATTCCAACGCTTTCTTGAGTACAGTTGGGAGTTAAAACACACTCGCAAGTTTCCGATTCTCATCAAACAGACGATAAAATTGCTCACTGACTGTGCGTCACTGAATACTGAAGGCAAGTTACGGCATTCCTATCTTGAAAACTTGTAAAATCATAAAAAACATCTCCATCCCGCTTCATTTCGTGTTTCAATATGAAACACTAAATAAAGCGGGATGAAAATGGATGGACTACACATTTTTTAGAAGCAGAAGATATTTCTAGCTTTTAATTATTAAGTTGGAAACTAAGTTTTGAAACTTTTTCACTCTTCTCTCTTTAAACATGGCGCACTCAAATTTGTTAAGACACGGGTTATGACGCAGGCTTAAGCTGAAAGCGTAGCTGCTCTTGCCAAATTGAGCTTAATGAAGGTTACGGCAGGTGTATGGTGTAAAAGGAAGATTGTAAATCTTTAGGTTTTGGCTAAAACTTGGCATAGGGGGTTACCCGACACGCTGATCACTTAATCGATATCGAAGTTGTTCGGTAAGGACTTTCTTGCAAGATTACTGTGGGTTTACATAAAGGTTCACCCCAAACAAGAAAAGCGTTGATTCAGCAAATGATTATGATATTCGTTTTTGGCAGTTCAAATGACCCCGCTATGCGAATCTCGGCGAACTTCGTGTTCCAACTCAGTCATTGGCGGTTGTCCGTGGAAACCCTGCGTACAGGGTACTCGTTCGAATTTGTAAGGGCGCCAAATCTCGGCATGCCTATAAATTTGATTTCTTTTTTACTAACAAGGAAACGATACTCGGTGTCCGTGGCATTTTGACATAAAACGTATACCATCACGCTCGTCTTGGAGCGCTGATTCCGAATTTGACTTCTATTTTTGCTAATCACTCCTCTAAAAGGTTAGGATTTTCGAGTCAAGGTCGCCCAGAAGA